CTACTAATCACTTATTTTGGATATTAAATTATAAATTGTGGCTTTTATACTTCTAACATTAAGTTTTGTAATATTTATATTTTTGCCACCCCGATGTCCGCTTGACTGTTTGAAACTATAAAAATTAACCGGAATCCGAGTGAATATTATAGTTTACTTTTTTCCGTGTGTTTAAAAAAATTTAGAAGCTGAAGAAGCCAGGCCACAAGCGCTCAAAAGGAAGTTCCAAATTCAAGCACTCTGGATCAATCGTAAGCAAAGTCAAGGATAGGAGAGACATTGATAAATTAAAATTACCTGATAAGAGTGTAAAATCTTCTAGGGGCCTGCTAAAGCTGGACGTAAGGCGCAGCGACGTGGACTGCACCGTAGATAGGACCAGGATCTTCAATCCCTCGCTAGTTGCTGAGCAATCTTCAAACGCACTTTCTAGACACACTCGACATACTTTCCCTCTTTTGGATAAATTATACAACAGGCAGTTCAATGATTTACTCCGCCAAAATCTTGTAGGGACGACCGATAGTTATCTGAGCCCTTACTTGGGCCCAAGAGACAAAATTTACTACAGGTCTCGGCAGACAATCAACAAGGATCCCATCGAACTCAATTCGGTCGATTTGTTTGATAGTAATTATAATAGTGAGCTTTTGAAAAATTGGGATGACTTTCCTTTTCTTCTCGGGAAGAAATCCGTGTCGGAAGAAATTCAAAATTCGACTGCTAAAAGTGTCGAGAAGGGAAATAAACACGTAGTTAAAGCTACAGTTGAGAAAAGTAGCAATGGAAATCCGACTTGTGAGACTAAAGAGGTAGCTAGGGAAATTTTGAACAGGATTATTGAAGAATTGGAGGAGCTCAAAATTGATCGAAATAAAAGTTTATATGGAGAAGGTTTTGTCAATTTTTTTTTTATTATTACAAAATATTTATTATAAAAAATTTTACATCTGGAAGTTTACAAAGATTAAAATTTACATTTTTTTTTATAATTGATTTTTAATAAGAATATAAAAAATTATCAGTCTGCTGATTTCAGTATTATATTTAATTTAATATTGAAGAATAATTAATCTTGATAATTTTTTTTTAAATAGATCTAAAAAATTGCATTTATAATTTTTTTAATTTTCTAAAGATGGAACTTTTTTTAAAATTTCTCTTGTTAAATTTAATTATTAAAAAAATTATCAGTCTGCTGATTTCAGTATTATATTTAATTTAATATTGAAGAATAATTAATCTTGATAATTTTTTTTTAAATAGATCTAAAAAATTGCATTTATAATTTTTTAAATTTTCTAAAGATGGAATTTTTTTTTTATTTTTCTTGTTAAAAAATTCTAAAAATTATTAGATGTCTTTTAATTTCATAAAAATTTCAGGTTCACCTTGTAACGTTTCGGGAAACTGGATCTCGGTGCAAGCAGGAGTCCAGCTAGAGATAACAACAGTAAATCGCCATAAGCTGAACGTTAAAATAAAAAAGCAGAACTTTATCAAGACAATTAACCACCGAGGGTTCTTAAATGAGACATGGAATGTCACTGGGCAGAGCTTTTTTGGGTTTGACGCTCCATTCTCGCTGACAGCTATCAATTGTCGCACTAAATCTTTGGCTTCTTTCATCGGTAATTAATCGGGTAATTTATTTTTGTTGCTTGTTTTTAATAATTTATTTATTGTTTTCAGGAACTTGCAAGACTTGCAACGGCAATGACATGATTCAAGGGATTTGGACAACAATTCACGAGCCGCACGACTGTCGGTACTTCTCGATAGCAATTAATAGTTACAACGACATTTTTCGGCGAATTAAAAAAAACTGATGACAAAATTACATTTTTACTGACATTTATATTTATACATTTAAGCCTTACGTAAATAATGTACAAATGCAGTTAATAATTAACTACATATTTATAAAATATATTTACAAAAAATATATATTTTTAGAGTTGAAGAGATTTTTTTTGCCGTGTAAAGAGTTACAAAAAGACACAATATATTTTTTATTTATAGATTTTTATGGTAAATTTGTCGATTTTATGAAACGCTCGCGAAATGTGTCTATACCTCGACAGATAATCTGTAATTAATAAATGTAATAAGTATTTTATAATTAATTTTTAAATTTAAATTGAAAATTCAGACATCTGATAATTTTTTTTTAATTTATAAATTAAAGTAAAAAAATTTTTTTTATTAATTCTATCTGAAGAAACTTTTAAAAATTATAAATGCAATTTTAAAAAAAATAATTTTTTTGACTTAGTTTATTTTTAAACAAAAATAAAAAATTTTCAAATGCCTGCTAATTTCACTGTCATGTAAATTTATAATACTAAAGTTAGCCGACATTTTTAATTTATTAAATTAGAATTAAAAAATGTTTTTTACAAATGAAAAATTTTTTTAATCATTTTTTCAATGAAAAAAAAAATTCAAAAATTTTTAGATGCCAGCTAACTAAATTTTTATTGTAAATTTTACCTTGAGCACTCCTATTGCGTTCGTTTCTTCTAAATTAGTGACCGTCAAAATAACGTCATGGCTGCCTGTTTGTTTCTTCAAGTTAAAGTTCGCGCAGCTAAATTTTAATTTTTATTTAATTTTATAACAATAAAAAAAAAAATAAAAAATTAATTATTATTAATTACCCGACTTCAACACATTCCTTTTCGTGTTCGCCTTCCAAAGGCTCGCTTACGATCTTAAATTGAATATTCGGGTCCTCAGCTCCGGTCAACATTGCCCGTAGTTTATTCCACTGCTGAGGATTTTCCTTCTCATCAAGTTTAAACACTACAATAATTATTCACTTGATGAAGAATATATTAAAAATTATTTTAATAATTAAAGAAGAATAATGTAAGCTTTTTTTAACTATAAAATTATTACAAAAGTAAGTAAATAAAATATTACTTTTCTTATAATTAAAATACATTTCTTCATGATACGTTCGAGGTTTAAGTACTGATTTAGTTTCTAATTCAGATCCACGATATCCTAAAAATGAAAATTCGATGTATAATTGACGAATGTCCGGGTTTTTTAATAGCGGACAATTTTTATATAATTTTAATCGACTTATTTTTATTATTATTACATTATCGTCTTCGTTTATCTGAAAATTGTCAAAAATAATTTTCTTGTTTATTGTCGAGATAAATATTTATAATTATTTTTAAAAAGTTTACTTGATTAGATAAATTTCTGTAACTTTCATCAGAATAATTTTTTATAGCAACTTCTGTTTCATTGTAATCTCTATCATCAATCTGAAATAAATATTTATTGTAATTAAAATAAAAATAAAATATAAAAAATAAAAAAATTACCAATTTTGAAAAATCATTAATACTAGTGTAAGATTGTTTTTCTTCTTTAACCGATAAATTATTAAAACTAGCTTGCGTGGAAATAATTTTCGACTCATTTAAATTTTCTTCATATTTGGTCGATTCATATTTAGGTAATTCAAACAACGATGACTTTGATTGTGAAATATTGTGCGGCGATTGTTTCACCGATGGTGTTTTAGAAGAATTTTTAGAAGACTTTAAAGTCATCTCGTTATTTTTATAAGAATCCTTCTCTTGTGGAACCGGAAGTGATTGTTTGGGACTAACTTTGTTGTGACTTGAAACGGAACTGTTTACGTCGAAAGTATTTTTATCCAAACACTTTTTTTGGCGATACTTCTTAACTTTATCGACGTCGCAACTCAGCCTGATCCACAGAGACAATTTTCCAAAATTCTCGCAGTGATAACAGGGAGAACAATCCATGCTGACAAAATAATTGAGCTTCTTCTGTGGGTGGTCTAAAATATTTCTTACATTCATTTTTCCTTGGGCTATTACGTGTGGCTGTACGTTTCGGTAGAAAGAGTACAGTTGGAAGTAAATGTAGTCGTTTAGAAGACAATTAAAAAATTTTGTCAAGTTTGACACTCGGTACACGTAAGACGAGTTAAAGTTTAATTGAGGGTACTTGATTGTCGACGTGGAAATTGATTCTTCGTGACAAAAATCGCAACTCAAAAATAACGACGGCTGAGACGCGCTGTTGTACTTCATAAAAAAATTATTCACTGCCTAATAAATTAAAATATTTATTATTATTATTATTGTGTTTAATATATGACTCGAAGATCGGTATTTTTTTTTTTTTTTTTTTTTTTTTTTTTTAATTAATAAAGAAAGATAGTTATTATTTTCAGCCGAGGTACCCGATCCAATTCTTGAAGAATGATCAATTTTTCATTATTATTCTTTCACCATAATATTTTTCGGTTGAGGTCTCATACCATTAGAGAAAATTTTTGGGTGAAAATACAACAATTAAAATTTATTTCGACAATTTTTATTAGAAAATGTGTAAAGATGTAATTTCTTACTCAGTGTAACTTTTTTCGGTTAATGAAAAAATAATTCGGATAGCCCAGACAAATTGTCGAAATAAATTTTAATTGTTGTATTTTCACCTAAAATTTTTTCTAATGATATGAGACCTCATACCGAAAAATATTATGGTGAAAGAATATTAATGAAAAATTGAACATTCTTCAAAAATTGGATCGGGTAACTCGGCTGAAAATAATAACTATCTATATTTACTAATTATTATTATTATTAATACTATTCGTCAATTTTACCATGTTTACAAAATAATTATAATAATAATAATATTCAAGATATTGTGTTTTTTAATTTTATATCAGTATTCTGTCTAAATATCGAAGATATAAAAAAATTGATGACCTTTTTTGAAGAAAATTTAATTTTCTACAAAAAAGTTCTCTTATTTTTTCATTTTTTTAATATTTCTCCCAAAATAATGAAAATAACAATACTGTCTTAAAAATATAAAAATAAGGATTTCAATAAAATAAATTATTATTATTATTGATAAATTAAAAGTTGAAATTATAATGATTTCTTCTTAAAAATAATAAAAAAAAAAAAATAATACTAACAAATATTGAAGGATGAAAAGACAAAATTCGAATTTCAACTAATCCTTCTTGGTCACTGATAGAAATAGGTGAGAATTCTGTATCATTTTTATCATCAAAATTGCAATTATTTATTTTAATGCACCTATCACACATCCTAGACTCACAATTAATCTTCGTCTGCGAAATAGCTTTTTTACTCTTAGCTGGGTAAAGTTGAATCTAAAAAAAAATATCTCCATTAAATACTCAGTATCAAAAGTAGATTTCATTTACATTTTGGGTCCACTGGTCATCCGAAAAATTCGAAGACAAACATTTGCAATACTCAATAGTGTTTTGCTGATCGGAACAAGTACTTGGCTTTTCAAACAGATTATTAAAATACTTTAGAAAGCTCTGCTGTACTTTTCGGTGATCAATCTTCGACTTTTCACTGCAGTTAATTTTCCAATAATCTCTCACCAAGTCACAAATTGTCTCGATGAACTTATTGTGCTCGGAATCATTAGCATCTCGGGGGTAATCGGGCTCCTGGGGCGATATACAAAATCTTGAGCTGTAACACAATTCTAATTTGTCGTAGGATTGAATAACTAGGATAAATAAATAGTACAAATTTTATTTTCATAAACTTAATTAATATTAATTATTATTTTAAGTCTGACAATAAAAAGTTACACATAAAAATATCTTACGCAGATTTAAAAATTTTTACTACGAAAAATTAATTGTAATAAATAGTGACTAGGATTTATAAATTAATAAAAAAACTTAACACTAAATTTGAACACATTTACGTGTATAGTTATTGCTATATAAAATAATCTAACATATTAACTACTAATAGTTAATATGCCTACTGATATGTAGTATAGGCTTAGTAATCGTTATCGCCAAATAATAAAGTTTCAAGAGCAATTACTTGCCTCTGTCGATTACTCGTGTCGCCGCAGTGGTTGGGGCTTAGTCCTTCTAGCAATCTTATTTTGGCCACATTTTGCGCATCTAGCGGGGTGTTTATTTGAGCATCGTCAAGTAACTTAAGCATCGCTTCTGGCGATAAATTACCTGGCTTATCACTTTTATTTCCACCAAAATCTTCTAAATTTTTATTACTATCATTATTTTCAAATCTAACATAATCACGCTCTGGGAATACATCTGTTTGGCTACCACACTCGACGTAGGTATTTTTAATTGGCAATTCATACTCATTTCTACTTTTATTCACATCATCATCAACATTCTTACTCCTAATTTTTTTGCTATTACATTCTTGGCAATAATTTGATTTTTTAGGGCTATCTCTAGGCGATTGGCTCTCGTAATTCGTTTTGTCTGCCTTCTCTTTTTGACTTTTTGGTGACTGAAATCAGAACAATAATTAATTTAAACAAAAAAAAAAAAAAAAAGTAAATAAAAATATAAATATTAAGAACCTTTAATTGTATAGACATTAAATCATTATTGCGTTGCAACTCCTGTAACTTATCGATCAACTGAGCATTAGCAGCCTGGAGCGCCTTAACATTAGCCTGTTCTTGATTACAAGCACACTTGAGATTGTGGTTATCCGTCATCATATCCCCCAGCTGCTTCTTCAGCTCCATATTCTCGATTTCAACTTGGCTGTATTTAGTACTGATCCCAATCAACTCGCTGTTGTGCTGCTGTAGAATTTTTATCTCGCTGGTCAAGTCGCGAACTTGCTCATCTTTTTCCCGCAAGGCTGCCTGGTAACTTTGGGAGCGCGCAATCTGCTCTTCTAACTCACCCATCAATTTCTTCTCCACAAGCTTCGCAGTTGGACTGCAACTCCTGCAATATAATTAGCTGTAAACATCGTAAACAATAATTAACGAAGAATAATTACTTTTTAGCTTCACACAGGCAGCTCTTGAGATCTGCTATTTCCTCGAGCAATGACTTATTTTTGGATTCAAACTCTGTCAATTTTTCCTGCTGAAGTTTCATTTGGCGCCACACTCTAATGTACTCTACATTCTCTGTTATTTTTTCTTTTTGGTTTTCATTTTTGGCAATTGATAATTTATTTTCTAGGTCTTTTACTCGATTAATCAAAGTTTTTTTTTGTCCTTCTAATTCCTATTACAAATTATTATTATTATTATTATTATTATTATTATTATTATTATAAAATCGGTTTTTTTTAAGTGAAATTTAGTGTCATTGCAAAGGTTTTGACTTGAATTTGCGCCTTTTCAAGGTTCCATAACATTCTCATCAATAGTCAATTAATTATGATAAGTATTTAGTCTGCATTCGAAAATACTCTATCTCTAGATACATAATTAAGAAATGACATTGTATCTTATGAATTATTGATATTTTTAAATATATAAGCTCATCCCGATATTAGACTCATCGAGACCTTTCATTTGAGTACCCACATCAATTTTTCATATATTTTATATATTTATATATATATATATATATATTATATATATGTATGGATAAAAAATATATCAAAAATGCATGTGCGTACTCAAATGAAAGCTCTTGATGAGTGTAATATCAGAATGAGCTTACATCGTTAAAAATATCAATAATTAAGAAATGACCTTGTATCTTGTGGACAATTGATACTTTTAGAAATATAAGCTCATCCTGATATTACACTCATCGAGACCTTTCATTTGAGTACCTACATCAATTTTTCATATATTTATATATATTATATATGAAAAATATATCGAAATGCATGTGGGTACTTTTAAAATATTTTTTAGGTAAAATTAATAAATTAAGCAAAATAAAAAAATCAAAAATGTCGGCCAACTTTATTTTTATGAATTTTTTTTCTGAAAAAAAATTTTAATGAATTAAAAGAAGAAATTTGACATGAAGAAAATTTGAAAAATTTTATGTGCAATTTTTAAAAAATATTTTTTTATTCATGATTTTAATTGACTTAAATTCAATTAAAAAAATTTTAATGAATTAAAAGAACGAATTTGACATAAAGAAAATTAGAAAAATTTATGACATTAAATTTATCTGTCACTTTACAATTTAAAAAATTTTTTTTAATAAATAAATTATGGCAAAAAAAAATTATTAAAAAAGTGGACTTGTAAAAATTTAATAAAATTAAAAATGCAATTTTTTAAAAATAATTTTTTAGAACAAATTTTTTTGTTAAAGAAAATTAAAAAATTGTCATGTGACAGCTAAATTTAATGTTATGAAAAATTTTATGTGCAGTTTTTAAAAAAATATTTTTTTACTCATAATATTAATTATTTAAAAAAATAAAAAATTTTCAAATGCCTGCTAATTTTATTATCAATTATTTCTGCACTTGCATTTATCAGTCTTCAAACAATTTTTATTAGTGCATTTAATACCTAAAGATTTTTTCTTACTTCTGCAAGGTTTATTTTTTACACCAGCTGGCCGTTTAAATTTATTACTCTTATCTGCAAGTAAAAATAATTAACATTAATTAATTTTAATTTCTAATTAAAAAAAAAAAATAAACCAAACTTTTTATTTCCTCTCCCTCTTTCTCAATTTTTTCATTGTAATTTTTTATGGACTCATCACGTCGCTGTTTCTCCAATTGCAAAGCTTGTTTTTCCCTCTTGATCTGCTCTCGCTGAAACTGATACCTCCTCTGCCATCTAAAAAAACGAAATTAAGTCACGACCTCTGAAATAATCAGAGATAAAAATTCATCACTTGTCTTGAGTAATTTTCTGTTTAAACTCCTCTTCTCTCGCTTCTCTTTCGCGTCTCAGTTTCTTCCTCCGACGATCTTTTTTAATTCGCTTCCACAGGATGTTAACCAACTTCTTCCTAGACTTCTGGACCAGCATTAAGCGCTTCTGCCGAACTCGCTCAGACTTGATTCTTGAGTTAGTTACAATTTCCTTTAAACGCTGCTTTTTTCTCTCCTCAATTTCTCTAATTTTCTTCTCTTGCTTCAAAGCTCGTAGCTTCAGCTTTCGAATCCTCTCCTTCTCCTTTCGCTTAATTTCTCTCGATAATTCTTCTCTGATCAAACTTTTCTTCTCCAAATTTTTTGCTCTTCAACAACCAAAATTATCAATCATAAATAATTAGAAAAATTTTTTTCTGCTATAATTTAGTTATTAAAACAATTCTAAGAATTATCAGATGTTTCTTAGTTTTAATATCATTAAAAATTTATGAATATTTTTCATTGATTTAATTAAAACTAGAAAAATATTATTAAAAAATTTTTATTTGCAATTTTTAAATCTTGATGTAAAATTTTTTTTTTAATAATTTTTTCAGTAATAAAATTCATAAAAAATATCAGATGTCTGGTAATCTATTTTGATAAAAATTTTATACTTAAATCAATAAACGTTTAAAAAATTTAGAAATTTTTTTTATTTATTAAATTAAGATCAGAAAAATATTTTTAATAATTACACTTATAGTTTTTTTAAATCTGCTTTATGTAGAATTTTTAGTTATAATTTTTTTATAATTATTTTTTAATCAATAAAATGTCAGATATCTGCTAATTTTATTTTCATAAAAATTTTATACTGAAATTGAGACACCTGATATTTTTTTAATAAATAAATTATAGCAAAACAATTCCAATTTTAGAAGATCAAATAATTTGTAATTGTAATTTTTTAACAAAAATGAATTAAATTTAATTCATTTTTTAGTAAAAATCAAATTCAAAAATTAATAATTATAAATTAAAAATTTTATACTGAAATTAAGACACGTGATATTTTTTTAATAAATAAATTATAACAAAAAAAAATTCCAAATTTAGAAGATCTAATAATTTATAATTGCAATTTTTTAACAAAATTTTTTTAATTTAATTTATTGTTCAGGAAAAATTAAATTCAAAAATTAATAATTATAAATAATTACCTTTCAATGTCTTTTTTGGCTTGAACCTCAGCTCTATCAAGCACCAGCTGATCTTTCCTGATCTCATCTCGACGGTCCATTTCCTTTTTAATGGCATCGCTGTGCAAATATTTTAAATACTTGCGGTACATGTTGTACTCTTTAGCCGTACAGACAACATCAAGATTATTTTTGACAAACCCACGTTCAATTAAACACTTGAAATTATTTTCTTTATTAAAATAATCAGCCAGATATTTGTCGTGCAGTGAATTGTACAGATAATAATTTATTTCATAATTATAGGGATCATTTAGGTTAAAATCGACATTTTTCGACCCAGAGTACAATTGCTGGCCCAATTTTTTACAAGTAAAGTAATAAGCGTCTTTTGGTCCAGGTACTGTGGGTAATTTTGAGTCCAGAGGCATTAATTTCCATTTTGGAAGACCGAATTTTGGAATTGCACCTTTTGGCTTTGATACTACTTTAGATAATTCATCTAATTTACTATTAAAAAAATAATTAATTAATTATTTTTATTAATTAACAAAATATAGAATAAATAAAACTCACGTTGGCCTCCTGAGACTTCTTAAAAGATCACCAGTTGATTTATTTCTTGACATGTTTACATAATTTTTCCGAAATAGCAGACTTAGTTGTGAATTTATTACTGTGAAAATTATATTAGTTGCAGACAACTTCAATTAATTAATCATTCTTTTGCAGGAAGGCATTCCAATAATAGATCCTAATTACTACGCTACGATTACGAAAGAAGTGCTGGCTAGAGTACTGAGAGCTGATTCTGGAGCTGAGACTATTCCGCTGTTGGACAAGAGGGTACAAAATTTACAGCAAGTTGGCAAGATATTAGTCGATAAATACAACGGAACATTTGTCGAGTGCGTCAAAGCGTCTCAGTACTCGGCTGAGAAGTTGTTGAAGCTTATTGTCAATGAGTTTGAGTGCTTCCGTGATGAAGCTGATTTTTATGGACATCGAGGTAATTTTTATTTTTTTATTGATTTAAAAAAAAGACACTAAAAATTAATCTGTTTATTAACTATTTCTTCAATTATTTTTTGAGAAGAAATATTTTTTTTTTTTTATAAAATAATTTTAATCACAATCACAAAAATTAATTTTTTTATAATTAAAAAAAATGTAAAAACATAATTTTAACGAGCAACCTTGCAGTCACTATGTGACTGCTGTGACTTGTGAACTATAAATAAACAAAATTTTGCTTTATTAAATAATGACTTTTGTTAAATTGTACTGTACTTTCTTAACTATTGACGTTTTTAAAAATAAAAGCTTATCCCGATGTTACACTCATCAAGAGCTTCCATTTGAGTACCCACATGCATTTTGATATATTTATATTTATATACATATATATATAAGTATATAAATATATGAAAAATTGATGTGGGTACTCAAATGAAAGGTCTTGATGAGTGTAATATCGGGGTGAGCTTATATCTTTAAAAATGTCAGTAGATGACAAGATACAAGGTAATTTCTTAAGTATTGACATTTTTATAGATATAAGCTCATCCCGACGTTACACTCATCGGTCTTGATGAGTGTAATCTCGGGGTGAGCTTATATCTATAAAAATATCATTAGTTGACAAGATACAATGTAAACTCATTTCGATGTTACACTCATCGAGACCTTTCATTTGAGTACCCACATGGCATTTTTCCATATATTTTATATATGGTATTTGTGAAATATATAAATATATAAAATATATGAAAAATTGATGTTGGTACTCAAATAAAAGGTCTTGATGAGTGTAACATCGGGATGAGCTTATATCTTAAAAAATGTCAATAGTTCACGAGATACAAGGTCATTTTTTAATTATGTATCTAGAGATAGAGCATTTTTGAATGCAGCTTAAATACTTATCATCATAAATTGACTATCGATGAGAATGATATGAAACCATGGAAAGGCACAACTCCAGGTCAATTCCAAATTTAACCATAAAAACCCTTTTTATCATATAAATACACTGGCCACAAAATTTTGCTTATTCTCTTAATAATATAGATTAAAAAAATTCAAATTTTTGAGGTATATTAATAACGAATTAATTTTTGCTGTCTTAAAAAAAATTTTTAAGACATTTAATTGCATTGATTAATAAAAAAAAATATGTTACAGTATCTTTTTACAAGCGAGCTCAAATTTTGGTCGGTGATATTTGGGCCTGCTACAAAGGAAAAGATCTCGGTGAGTTCAATGACATTGATATAATAACAATGTTCGCGGATTATAGAATACCTCAAGTACTTTTGCATTTTGGTGCCATGAGATATAGTAACCCACTATTGAGTACTCTCCAAACTGGTAATTATTTAAATAATTTTTTTTTTTTATAAATTTATACAAGTATTTTTAACTCTAAAATGATGATTACACGCTTTTTATTGGTCCTCAATAATTTAGGAACGGAATTAACACCAGGCTGCATAGAAGAAATCGAAATCCGCGGATGTTCTATCGAAGTAATCGAGCGCGTAGTCGACAGAGTGAGAAATTTAATAAAACAGTATCCGAATTTGAACATAAATCCGTTCAGTTGTAATTCAATCGTCGTTGATCACTTCCTCTGGGATTATCGGCGAAAGAACGCCGAGAAACTAGAAAGTATACCCTTCCATCGCACCCGATCAATTTATTACTAATTATTTTTGTTACTAAAAAATACTCGAATTCCAATTGATGATTCCAGAACTCTTAAGTTTTTTTTTTCAGGGGCCATATTTTTTTTACATTACAAAAAATAAATATATTGTAACGAATAATTAGATAAAATTTATTTGATTTTTTTATAATATACATTTATAATATGCACAAAATATTAAACAATAACAAATTTCAACAATTTTATACTTATCTTTAAAATGGTTCCAAAATAAATTAATGGTTCCACTATTTAAAATATTGATATTAATAATAATAGTAATAATAAAAATGAAATTTTATACTTTGTATATAATAAATAATAAATTTTCGACGTTGCCATGTAAACAAATAAAAATAAATTTGAAAAATAAAGAAGAGCCTCATTGCGATAATTAAAATCATCTTTGGAGGATAAAACTAGTGTCCTTTGGCACATTTTTAAATTAAAAAAATTTTTTTTTTCCATTAAAAACAATTAAAGTTAATATAAAGTTAGTTGCGATTACTTTAATACTATTTTTATGGCAGTTTAAAAATGTGCAGTTAAATAAATAATTCCTATTTGCTGCTGTAAGATAATAATTAAATGTAATTTTTAAATTCATAATATTATTGTCTATGACTATTTTTTTTTTTAATAAAAACAATTTTATGTAGAATATTTATAAGTTAATGATTAATTTATTAATTATATTAATTATACTATATATTATGTTATACGTATATTAATTAAAAATTTTACAAAATTAATTTTGCTTCTGAAGCTGCTCCCAAAACTCGAGCTCATTTTTTATTTTTCCCGGCGCAATAACGTCAATGTCAATAGACTTGTCTAAATTCGTCGAATTTTTTTCTGTAGCTTCTATAATCAAACTCTGTACTTGCGGTTTCACTGAAATTTGTCTTAGACCCTCGCGGAATTCTTTGGACAGCGACCTCGCTGTCAGACTGTGCATCTGCCTTGGTGTTTTTACTATTTGGATTTCTGGAGTCGTCGGTCTGTCTTTTACCACGTTTTTTATTATTCTTGGAGTCTAATGACAATAAAAAAAAAATTAATTTTTACAATCTGTAAAATTATATTTAAATTGAGAGACATCTGATTATTTGAAAAAATTTTTTTAATAAATAATTGTAGTAAAAAAATATATATTTTTTTTAAACTCTGTCTTAGAAAACAAAAATAAAAAATTTTTAATTAATTAAATAATTAAATTTAAATTGAAATTAAAAAAATTAAATTAAAATATAAATTAAAAAATTAAATAAAAATCAAAAAAATTAAATTAAGGGGGAACACTACTGTTACGGTCGAAAAAAAGATGATTTTCGGGAATTTTTTTCACAGGGAAAATAAAGGAATTTGAGGATCCGATTTTTTTTTATTTTATTAAGGGTTCATTAAAGATTATTACCCTAAATTTTTATTAAATAATATTTAATTATTACAAAGTTATTAACAATCTCGTAGAGTACTAGAAAAAATTTCCCCCTCCATGGTTGCATCGATAACTCAAAAACGGATCATTTGAAAATAAAAAACCAAATTGCTTTTTAATAACTAGGGATGTAGTTATCGTTGCACGTACGAAATTAGAAAAATTTTAATTTTCAAAAAAATGGCGACTGATTGAAAATTTTCTCATTATTTTTACTGTTTTTTTTTTTGTTTTAACCCAGCTAAAAAAAATCTTTAAAATTAAAATTTATAGTTATTGTTGCATGTACGGAATTAAAAAAATTTTGATTTCAAAGATTTTTTCAGCTGGGTTGAAAAAAAAAAAAAAAAAAACACTAAAAATAATGAGAAAATTTTCAATCAGTCGCCATTTTTTTGAAAATTAAAATTTTTTTAATTCCGTATGTGCAACGATAACTATATCCTTGCTGATTAAAAAGCAATTTGGATTTTTTATTTTCAGATGATCCGTTTTTGAGTTATCGATGCAACCATGGAGGGGGAAATTTTTTCTAGTACTCCACGAGATTGTTAATAACTTTGTAATAATTAAATATTATTTAATAAAAATTTAGGGTAATAATCTTTAATGAACCCTTAATAAAATAAAAAAAAATCGGATCCTCAAATTCCTTTATTTTCCCTGTGAAAAAAATTCCCGAAAATCATCTTTTTTTTCGACCTCCACAGTGGTGTTCCCCCTTAAAATAAAAATTTAAAAAATAGAATTAAAATAAAAATTAAAAAATTTTAATTAATTAAATAATTAAAATAAAATCAAAGAAGTAAATTAAATTAAAATAAAAAAATTTCAAGTCTCTGCTTATTAAAAAAAAAAAAAAAAAAAAAAAAAAAAAAAATTAAACTATACCTTAGTATTTTCAGATGTATGATTAAAAGCCTGTGCTAACTTCTTAACCGAAGGCATGGGAAGTTCCTTATCAACAAACTTATCACCTCCATCAAGCGACTCGAGGGAATATTTAATATCCTTGATCGTGGAAAACCTCCTGGGCAGCTCTTCGGAGGACTCAGTCTTAGAACTCTGGGAGTCCGTCTCATAACTATTAAAGTCGCCCGAATTTTCAGCTTCTCTATCAATCAGCTTGATGATCCGGTGATGATCCTTAATCGAACTATCATACCTTTTAATTTCATCATTGTCCATCGTTAGCCGCTCGACAAAGTGCTTCTCGTCCTCATCGCTCGCCGAAGAAGACGCAATCGCGTAATAATTGTCCGTCTTCGTGATATTCGGGACCGATTTCGCGGAGGACATGCGGTTGAACTTCTCAAAGACTATCAGTTTTTCTTTATTCAAGACTTCTGTGCTTTTATTCCAGTAGCCTTCAATCAAGTTGCTTTTCTTCAACTCTTCATTATTATTATTATTATTATTATTATTGTTATTATTATTATTATTATCATCATCGCCGTTGGTCTTAAGATTGACAAAACTGTTATTGACTTTGCTGTCCAAATTATTGTTGCTCTGCGTCCTTCTCAGCCCAGAGTCGTACCCAAAAGACCTGAGGTCAAGTTTGTTAGGAACCCGCCGATTTTCCAGGTCCTTGTTATTGTTATCCTTGTTCACGTGGAACTCGTTCTCAAACCCGTAGGCCCTCAAGTCAATCCGCCTGATCTTGCGCTTGTTGTCTTCATCAAAAGAATTTTTGCAATCGGGATTGTTCGTGCTCTGGTTATTTAATTTTGCGTTTATTTCATTTTTGCTGTTCTTGCGCTCGCGGTCTAAATTATTCTGGGAAGCTATCAGCTTGGACGTCGCTTCGATCGGCTCGAAGACTTCCTGCAACATACAATGAAATTTATTTTAAAATTTTTCATAAGACACTCGAGAATTTATTTAATAAGTCCGTCTGTTGTTGTTTCAACCCATTGTTAAAATTGAAGGCGATGAAATTAATAAGCCTCCATTTGACGATCTAACTGCAAGTTGTAAAAATGTTACTTAAAAAAAAAAAAAATTATTTTTTATTAATTTCCGGCAATGGTTTTTAATTAGTCGGGGCAAGCAATTAAAGCGTGCAATTATTGAGCAAGTGAATAAAAATTTAATGTTATATTTTTCGGGCATTAGTTGGCGACCAATTTTTAATCAGTTTAGTCGTTGGTACTTACCGATTACATTAAATTGCGTCTCATGCATGAGTTGTAATAATAGAAATAAAGGTCACTAAAACTTTCCAACAGATTAATATTACAATATACATTTTTATTATTTATTTAATTAATTAATTAATATCAGAAAAAAACTGAGTGCTTAATACTTATGTACAATTGTTAGAATTTAATATGTGAAAGTTATTTTAAATAAATAAAAACTGAACATTAAAATTCAAAATTTTCATTTTTGAACACTGAGGTAGATTAAAAATTACTCCCAAAGTTTACAAAAATTCTAGAAACCGGATTAATATTGAGAGACTAAAAATTACATTAATTAAAAAATGGCTGTTGAAATTAAGAAAGTCCTTTCGCTCAGTTGAGTCAAAACAACTGTAGTAGTCAATATACGGTGAATTAAAATAAAAAATTCTTAAAATTAAAAAATAAATAGTATATGAGGCATTGATCGTTGAAATTTTAAAAATAAAAAAAAAATAGTTAAATACAAAAAATTTTTTTTTCAAAAATTTTCACGGTAAAGACTAAATTAAATTTTACCAGTAGATAAATAAGGACTTTAGCTATTAGATAAAAATTAATTTTTATGCGTAATCTAATATTTTTTATTTAACATTGATGCATGGAAAAAAGTAAACTGTAATAAATAACAGTCGATTTATAATAAGTAATAATCAACTGCTCGTGATTTTACTATTCACTTTATAATATTTACAATTTAAACGTTACAATTTACTCTTTACATGGAAGAAAATAATATTTCAAACAGTAATATTC